AAGCGTATGTACGTATGGTATGGTTCCATCTTGTCTGCGCATCTCAACCCGCAAGGCAGGGATCGCGCCTATGGCTGCGTCTTCGTCTGCCGCCGTCGCGCATCAATGCATACTGTATGTCTCTGATCCGTCTACACGTGTCATGGGCCATGGCCTCTCTATGTGTCGCTTTGTGACCGATAATGTGGCCTCCTTCGCTCGCATTATAAGGCGTCTTCAGCCCGTTTGAGGTATCCTCAAGGGGTGTGTAACGTATGTCACTGTGTGCATGTGATGGCATGTGCTCATGAGCAATGTATGTATGTACCCCGTTTTGCTGAATTGACATGCAGGCTTTTTAGTGATGCGACATCGAATTGAACTTTTTGACTTCTCCGTACTGTGCACACAAGCGCTTCTGTTCATTATAATGGCTCATATGCTCTCGACTGCCGACACCGTAGTTCAGTGTTCAAGGGGTCAGTCGGGCTGGTATTTCAACTGGTTGATAGCCTCCTTTTCCCCTGTTCTCGTCGCTGACTGTCCTTGGTGCTCCCCCAAATCCTCTCTTTTCTTCTGCTTTTCCCTCACTACATATGACTCTACTTGTGCGTACATGGCACAAATTGCGAACGTAGCATAAACTTTCCCAAACCATCGTCGTGATGAGTGGGAAGAGTTACGACGGCAAGGCCGCAGACAAGTCGGTCACCGTTTCCGATACAGAGCCAAGCGAGCACGACGATGTGGCCTTTTTGGCACCGCAATATGAAGCGGAAGACCCATCATCCCACCAAGATGGCTCCGAATCAGACGAGCCACCAGGGTCTACTCCGGATGCCACATCCTCCCGCGCCTCAGTTCAGACACCACCTTCTTCAGTGGAAATTCTATCTCCTCAGCCATCACCTCATGTGCCCAGCAAAAATCTTATGACAGCTGCAGTAGAAGAGTGGGAAGAGGACGACACCCGCGACGATGCCGAGCTCACTCCACCATCGTCATTCTGTGTCACCACACCTCCTTCAGTTGAGGCAGCACTCGACCCAAGCGCACCAGAAAAGACCGTCAAAACTACCAAACCAGAGACATGCACACAAGAACTGAGGAAAGAGCCGCATGGACGGAAGGCCGAGCCCTCAGCCATACCTATCCCACAGAGTGCTCAGCAGAACACGTCGAGGCGTCGACCAAGTGTCATGGATTACCTGGTCTCACAGGGCCCTGTCAAGTATCCGGCGTCGGCGTCGGGAGCAAGCAGCTCTGCATCTCGCAGAGTAGCTTCAGAAAGCCAGTGCTGGCAGAACGATGATCAACCGCCGACTCAATGGAGCCAGCCTCAGCCAACTCAATGGGGACAGCCTCAGCCAACTCAATGGGGACAGCCTCAGCCAACTCAATGGGGACAACCTCAGCCAACTCAATGGGGACAACCTCAGCCATCTCAATATGGACAACCTCATCCACTCCAACGGGGTCAGCCTCACCCAACTCAATGGGGACAGCCTCTCCCTCCTGGCTACCAAGGGGAAGATAGGAAGCAACAGTCTGGATGGACTGCTCAACAACCCTCTCTTGCATCGGTCGACACATCCATGAATGATCACGACGATCGTGGTTCAGAGGCATCATACAAGACGGGCTTCGGTCAACCCTGGGAGCAAAATGGCCTGCCTGCATTCTCTTCAAATTCCAGCGTGTCGAACAATGACAGTTTCTCAGAGATATACGCAAGTCAAGGTTATCCTGATCTTGCTAGCCGTCTGGACAATATGGCGCCCAGCGGCTATCATCTCCTGGCCACGAAGCTTTCAGGTGATTCATGTGGCCAACCCATCGCACCGATCTACCGTAAATTCGATGCTCTGACTCATCGCTTGTTGCTGTACATGCAGGATGAGATTTCAGACTTAGAACGCCAGCTGATCTCTTTAGAGGCCAAGGACACGGCCAGGAGAAGCTATGCAGGCGGCGTCATGCCAGCGTCCCAGCGGCATGATCGCTGGACTAACAGCAATCTGGCGCACCAAAGGACAGAGATCCTCGGCCTCATTGGCTATAAACTGAGTCAATACAGTAAGCAAACGTTCAAATATCACAAACCTCTTGTCCCATTTGGATCATAGAGCTGACAATTTGACAGACCATGTTCTTGAGTCATTCTGCAAAGTACAAGACATTCCAGCACCGACGTGGCGAGATATTCACTTGTACAAATCCTACCTTGCCACGAGCAAGCTGATTGTAGATGACGAAACACGGTTTCTGGATGCGTCAAGCGACCTCATCTCGCTGAACACGCAAGGCCTGCCTGCAGACGATTTGAACACCACCGTCCAGGAACAAACGCCAATGCCAAAGGCAGCCGAAGAAGAGCCATTCCACGGCTTTTTCAAAGATCATCTCAGCTCACCATCTGCAGGGCTTGATCATGGTATCGTACACAGGCCTGACAACACGCTGTTTGTGCGACTTACTCTTTCTTGTATCTGCATGGTACTTGTGCCCATCATGATCTTTTCGGTCATACCTAGCTTCGTAGGACGCATGGCAATCGTTCTCCTCATCGCACTCAGTGTCAGTATCGTCATAGAACAATTAGATTTGCTGCAAGAGGTCGAACGGCACAGAGAATGGATGGTATATTTTGGGTTATACTGTGGTGCAATGGCTGTCTTGGCTAGAGCAGTGAATTAATTGTTCGGCGTTGCTAGGACTCAGGAGGCTGCCTGGAGTACCTTACATTACATTTTTTTAATCTCTCTATATCCGGTACCTGAGTCTGCACACGGTAGATTATACTGCATTTTATACGTAACGATGGAACGAATACAAACAAATAGAGAGACCTGAATGTCATCGCTTTTCAACGATGATGGGGGATCAGAGATCTGTCTTTTGCCATGCCCGCTATTTTGGCCTCACCAGATTTGCTTGAATCTATTGTTCAGAGGCCAGCCACTCGTAAAGTCAAGTTCCTCGTGAAAAGATGTGTAAGTTTTGCGAGGTGCCAAATTACGCACACAGTACGTACTGCTATGTATGTACATATCAATTTTCAAGATGAGAAGATACTTAGATACAGTGAATCTCGGAGGACGGAGGGCCGGAAGAGGTGGAAACCCGGACAAAGGTCAAACGGGTGTCAAGATGGACAAAGAACAGACTCTCAGCTCAGTGAGAATAGAGTCACAGACAGGAGAAGAACGACTGATAGATCTGACGAGATCTTCTAGACTAAAAAGAGAAGATAGAACAATACTCAATCACTATACTCATGACAGGAAGGAACTAAGTCTGACAAAGCGCTTTCCGAGTGCCTCCTAAGATACCTACTCCACAAATCTTAAAAATCACCTTATATAGTTGAATAGCAACGTGCATTACAACAACGTTCGGGCGAATGGTTTAGTGGTATAATACTCCCTTAGCATGGTCTCACCGTCTGGGAGTGGTCCAGGGTTCGATTCCCTGTTCGTCCATTCTTTTGCCACAACGATCTGTCTCGTCATCGCTCCAATTTTTTTGAACTTTGTATCTTCAAATCTTGTCTACCTACTTACTACCTTTCATGCATCATTTCCCTTCAATTCCGCTCCTTCGACCTTCAAGTCTCGACAGAACTTACTCCGTGAAAGGATCATTTTACATACCCTCCACACGAGCCTCGAGGTCTTCGTCCAGCGGCCTCTCGCAAGCTCCAACGCTGGAAACCTCGTTGGCGCTATGTAAGTTGTAACTGCTTTCGCATCAGTAAAAGAGTAGGTATGTACATAGTGGACTTGGGGAACAGTTGCACCGTGGTATCGTGGCGGTGTCGACCCCAACATATTCAAAAGAACCAAAAAGACAAACAGACTCGCAGCATTCGACATCCCCTTTCGCGATGGCACATAAATCATGATGCCCGGAGCGTTGGGGCAGCAGATGTCATGATGTTGTCCAGACTCCCAATGGTTATTGACTCCAGAACGCGTGGCAGGTAGCCCAGAGCCGCCACCAACCTCTCGACCCTCGGGCCTTGGTAGCGTCAATGTCGAAGCGGTCGGGCCCGAGGCGGCCAAGGCATATTACGAGTGCCGAAACATCTACAGGCCGACTATGAAAATTGAACTCATGATGTATCACTTTCACCGCTGGAGGGCGTATGAAAGTTCTGCCGAAGCATGCTGGACGCGGAAGCAACGCGCGTCAGAACGCGGTTTTCGAGCCACAGTGCCACGCGTCCAACACCATCACGACCGAGAACCTGAACAAGTCCGTCGAAAAGCCAGTCCATAAGGCTTTCCGAACTCCTTCCCCCGGAGCGGCTTCGTGGGCGTCCATCGCCGCAAGGGGTTTTTCTGGGCGTTCCTGGTTCTTCGGGCCCGCGCAACCACCTCTCCCGCTCAATAGCAGTCCGCCCGCGAGTACATAGAGAAGTACTGGACATACACTCGGAGAGCCCAGAGACGTTGGGAGACACAAAGAACAGAGAAGTCGGCGCCTAGCCTACAGAGCGGAGATAGCAACGGCCGAAGGAAAGGAGTCATGGGCTCTTGAACGCTGGGCAAGGCTTCGTAGCGGGATTCCTCCTGAGACAAATATCGGCTCTGTACCGCAGAGAAGGAGAGACTTTAAATCTCCCGACCACTCGCAGAGACAAGATGGAAGGTTTCTAGAGAGATTCTTTCCATCTTCCACGGCCCGCGCTACCAATTTCGATCTCTTCAGCTAAGTCGTACTGATCAGACTCGATGCTGGCGACTTGCTCAATTGGCTCTGTATCGGCGGGTGCGGCAGGCGGGTGAGGACTCTGGCAGGCTCGTATTGAGAGCGGCCTCAGAGGCCTCGACTTCTTCGTGTTTGATCGACCGCTCGAGAGACTGCGCTCCGAGACGTTTAGATCTACACGTGGGTTTGCCGTAGTCCTTCTTCGGCATGGGTGGGTGACTCTGTAACTTGGTTTCTAGTCGTTCAACTCTCTTTTTGTCGAACAATAGTTTATAGAGTACTTTCTGAAAAGCGTTGTACCACAAACGGGGCGAATGGTTTAGTGGTATAATACTCCCTTAGCATAAGTGCTAAGATTGGGAGTGGTCCAGGGTTCGATTCCCTGTTCGTCCATCATTTTTTCCTCATCAATGTATTTTTGAACTCAGTACATATGTAGGTACCTCTAATGTTCTCGATCGACGATGAGGCTTTTTTTTTGTTTGCAGATGTCAAAGTTCGGACGGATGTCCAGAAAGACGAATACATAACAAGATCTTGGTTGACTGAGAAAAGACGAGAAGAAAACGATTGATAGATTCAATGCAATTCATGTTGGTATTGCCAGCGTTAACAATGGTCTTTGCGTTGGCCGCCTCTGTGTCTGTACCACCCTAGAGGCAAAGAAGTTGGCGACATGAAGACTCGAGAGGGGACACGGACAAAGCTATTCGCCATTTGATGTATGTACATTGCATGGAAATCTATTGACATCTCATTACTATTTTTTGTCGGTTTTTTTTTTTTGTAGGTATGACTGTAGCGATAAACCTTTGATGCGCCAAGACGGCTTAATCAGGACTGAGGTCGCATATTGGGTCGTGAGTCGTGACCCGTCCGGCGTCGTGTGTTTCAATCAAAGGGTTTATTGACTGACACTTACATTGCGTGCGGCGTACCAAAAAATCTACCTAGCCATGTACATACATACATACCTTAGACCTACAACTTGCCCTTTCTTTTCTCTTTCATTACGGCGGCTATTCGAGCATTGCTGGGAACGTCGAAATGGCCACCCGAAACGGCAAGAATTAATTTGTGCACCGCAATGTCGCCATCAATTGCTGACCAACCTTACGCATCTTGTTTGATAGTCCAACGCTGGATAATTCTACCAGATCTGATTAAAACTCCACATCCCTGACCTCTTGAAAGAACGCGTCAGAGAACTCGACACGTTTTGTTTTACTCAAATGCGATCGCAGATACACATGTAAATTGCTTGTCGATTGTCTCGGTAGGAAGATCTCTCAAGAAAGATTGTACCGGGTCATCTGCGCCACTTAGGTTGCATAGGAAGCAATGCAGCGAATTTTACCATGAAAAGAACGGCTTGTGAACCTGTGTGCGACTGAAAACTCCTCAATTCAGCAGCACAGTTGTTATGACACCGCCAAGATTATTGCAAGTGTCACACTGCAGAAGCCATATTCGACTACAAACGAATAGATCGGCTTGATGCTCTTAATTCCGTCGGAGGTAAGAGCCTCACCATCTGAGACATCAGTTGTTGTACTTGTAGCACAGAGCGCCTACGGAGGAGCATGTATGTAAAATCAGGTGACAAGTAGATTTGCACGCTGCCCCGCCAACCGGCAATCCACCACACCATCTCTCGATGCACCCTTCTTTTTCTTTCTTCCACAACATCAGCTCACGATGTCTAAAAATAATGGAATTTTGTCACAACTACGCAAAAATGCCACACCAAACCAGACCCTAAGCGAGGCAGTCAGAGCTCTTATTGTGAGAGAGATACAGTTGGGAAAGTCATACCGCGACATCGCTGCCGAAGCGAAATGCTCACCAAGCACGGTTGGCAATATTTTTCGACG